ATAATAATAATAATAATAATAATAATAATAATAATTTATTATTATTATTATTATTATTATTTATTAAACTTATATGCTGCCCAACTCTCAACAATTATGGGTGGCTCACAACAATCAAATTACAATAAAGTCAATAAAACATAAAAAATAAAGATAAAAGATGGCAAGCACAATGAAGCAAGGGGTCTCACTCTCCCTTGCCAAAGGCCTGGGTGAAGAGCCAGATCTTCACAGCTCTTCTAAGCAACAGAAGAGTGGGGGCCATCTGGATCTTGGGGGGAACCTTGTTCCAGAGGGTGGGCGCTACTACAGAGAAGGTGTGCTTCTGGGATCCTGAGAGATGACATAGTTTGAATCAAAGGAACTCAGAGCATGCCAATCCTGCTGGATTGAATCAGCTGGGCAGATGTTATGGAAGACAGGCAGTTCCTCAAGTAACCAGGCCACATGCCATGAAGGAGTTTATAGTATCAACCAGAACCTTGAATTGCATCCAGAAGCAAACCAGCAACCAGTTCGGCTCACGAAGCAGAGTCATGCCCATTACTGCTTGCACGGTTGAAGCTTTCAGGTGATCTTCAAGGGCAGCCCCATGCAGAGAAAATTGCAGTAGCCAAGCCACAAGGTGACTAGGGCATGAGTGACTATCTGAAGGGTCCCCTAATCTAGGAAAGGGTGCAACAAGTGCACCAGATACATGCTGCAGATTAGCTACTGGGGCAAGCACAGTAGATGTGTAAAGCATAAAAACACTTTCAGATGTGTTTTATCAGTGGCCTCATTTTCATACCAATGTGTAATAAAATCTAACAGCACAGCAAACAATTTTATCTTGTACTCTTGTTTTCTTACGGGTTGCGGGGGAGGCTTAGTTTTATTAGTGAAGTATGAAAGTAGGAGTAGAGGAAAAAGAAAACAGGATTTGGGGTGGATTTAATTCTTGTGGAATGCAGCCTGCAAGAAATAGCAAGCTGCCGTATCTTTCCAAAAAGTGGCTCCATTCCAAATGTGCAGCTAACAAAACATACCTGCGCAATAGCCACACACTGCAAGCTGTATTTGTGTCCTTGCGTTAGCCAAGTGCATGAAACTTTTGAGGGGCCTAAATTGAAGCATACCCTTTGTATTTGTATAATCGTCATATAACTCTTAGTTATTTGTATTTGTATCTGAACAGGACTGTGTTGTTTGTTTTCCTTTGGGCCGAGGGGAGGACATCTCTCCCCCTCCTTTATCAGATTGTTTCCTCATACTATCCCTTACTGTTTTCCAAAGTTCAAAGCAAAACTGTGTAATTATGAGGGCTCCTTAAAGTATATGTCCGTAGTCACAATGCTAGAAAGGTAACTTCATTTTGAAATGGTCTCTTTGTCTCTTTTGTTGTAAGAAAGCCTCCCCTTAGGATGCCATTCAGAGGTCATTTTTGTACACAATTGACTGGATTGTCCTCTTCATGGCCCATTGTTTTTAATGTGTAGACAGAGGTAAAATAACTTTCTTTATCATCTGTCTCAGTAACAAGGGAAGTTCAGTTGAATGTGATTCAGTTAACCATCAGATGAAAGGGAGATGGTGGGGTAGAAGGAACTGACTTGTCTCAACTCCTAGAGTCGAGTCGAGTCTGGTCTGGTCTGGTCTGGTCTGGTCTGGTCTGGTCTGGTCTGGTCTAGTCTAGTCTAGTCTAGTCTAGTCTAGTCTAGTCTTGGTGCCTTCAAGTCAGTGTTGACTCCTGGCAACTGCCTGGACTAGTCCCTGCAGTTTTCTTGGCAAGGTTTTCAGATGTGGTTTGCCCTTGCCTCCTTGCTAGGGCTGAGAGAGAGTGACTGGCCCAAGGTCACCCAGCTGGCTTTGTGACTAAGGCAGGACTAGAACTCATGGTCTCCCGGTTTCTAGCCTGATGCCTTAACCACTAGAGTCTTTTGGCTATGGTTATTTTGTGATGAATTAATTAATTGACTCCTGTTACCAGAAAGCTAGTGGTGCTGCCCCTGCCAGCTGCACCTTGGCACTATCTTTATAGTGTCCATGGCCTCTGACTCCTGAACTACATAGGTTGTCTCAATTATCGCCTTGTATGATCTGGACTTCAAATCACAAGAAGAGTGTCCATGGCCTCTGTAGACATGCCTCAGGGTTTGGATCATGGGGGTAAAGCAGGACCCATCTGTCTGTTTTAGGAGGGGGAACGGCTGAAGCAGACATACCCTTCTTCTGAAATCACAAGGTACTTTGCTGTTTGTTTCAGGAGAAACCAGATCCTCAGAGAGGCAGAAATGCTCTACAAAGCAAAGTGCCAAACATTTTCTAGACTGGGGTTTTTCTCAGTTCATAGCAACTCTTTTGACTGTCAAGAAATAAGATGCCAAAAACATCAGTGAGTTTAGAATACGGCACCCTTGTGCTTTACTGAAACTTGCTGAGTACATATTCCTAGGGCTGAACAATATATGAACTTTGTAGCACTGTTGCTTTGAATGGGTTTTATTTATGTCAAAATAAGCACAAAGCCTTCAGTTGGGATTGGGGCAACAATATTATGGAAAGGTGATATTTAATAGAGCCCTCTAAGGGTTTCTTCTCTCTCAAATTACTATCCCTCTGTGCCCAATTATTCAATATAATATAGAGTTTCGTCCTTAGCTAAACTTCTAACTGGTCTGGCTTCCCTGAATTCATTGGTTAAAATTCCCTTCACCCATAGTATGGCCATTGCTTCTATTGATTAAGTTGCTGCAAATAATAAAAATTGTCATTCAGTATATCTGGAGAGTGCTGAGTGGAGAAGGTGCCTTAAAATACTATCCAAGAGTAATTCTGTACCTCTCAGATGTATCAGCTTGAAGGAAGATTTTAGACTATTCCCTAAAGAACACCCCTAATTATAAATGATCGGAATGGATTTTTCATCAGAATAATTCTCTAATGATGGGAATTTGTTGTAAACCTCCCAGAGTTACTTCACGAGATGGGCGGTGACAAATTGGATGAATAACTAGAATAAATAAATAAAATTGGTTACATGTCCTCCTTTCCCTTCTTCTACTATTTTGCTTTTAACTAATGGTCTGTCCTTTTCTCCACCCTCACTCTTTCCTTCGTCTGCAGTGACAAGGTGGCCCGGCATTATTACTACTGTCATCTGAGGGAACAAGTGTTGAAGTCACGATGCACCAACAAAGAAGAAATTTACTTCCTATTGGCTGCTTACGGTCTGCAGGTTGACCTGGGTGACTACAAAGACAACTTCCATAGAGGGAACTATTTTGAACCTCAGACATATTTCCCTCAATGGGTGAGTCTGAAAGCAAAGTCAAACCATTAGGCTTTGAGGTACCGTGAGTTCAAAGAAGCTTAAGAATCTTTCCTCTTTTGCACTTTCTCTCCCTTCCTGTATCACCTTTGCTTGGACAGGATACAAGTAATCTGAATTCACCCTGCAATTCAGTGATGCTGGTCACATCCTTACGGGATGAGCTGCTCAAATGTGCTCTTTCTCATGACAGCTCTGTAGTTCTCCCAGAGTCTCTGTTTATGGATCTTCAGGAGGTAAAGACGTTTGAAATGAAAAAGGGGGATTGCACTGAGAGAGAGGATTGTATGGAGACAACTTTTGCTCCACCCACCAGCAGTGTCCTTAATCTTCAGCCTTTTCTGAAAATTCCCCAGCCAATAAGGTCACTAAGACTGCAGTGTGGAAGGGGACACAGGGAATTATCCTGAAGCAAATACTTCACTGGATATAGCCTATTCTCCTGAGCACTCTGGAAACTAGGCTGAACTACCAGAAACACCTCCCTGAGAGGATAGGGAATTTTATACCAAGGGAGGCTGGTTTTAAGATTTTTATACACACACACACACACACACACACACACACACACCCCTTTCTGATACAGTGCTTCAGTCTCAGTCAACCTTGGCTTTTTCTCATATAGATATTCTCCACTGAGAATGAAATTAACCATGTATAAGTGATGTGGGGAAGGGGTAGCATTGATTGTTCTAATAGCCAGTTTTTATATCAGCAAACACCCTAGAGTTCAAACCTCATTGTCATTATCTTATTATTTGCCTGCTAGCAGACAGGTAGGTAATTCCTTGCTACCAGAAAGGAACCTGGCATCCAGTGGGATGTGTCTCTCCCTATCCCCAGGGTATGGCAGTGAGATGATGCATAAAATACTTTTCCTTTGGTTCTGTAGTTTAGGATTGTTGCAGCATGCAGCAAAGAATTATGGTCATGGTCATGATAGCTGTTGAGGTGGAGCCAAAAGCAGCAAGCAAACAAGCAATTTTGTTTGGAAATCTGGTTCCTAAACCCTTGGTGCTGAGCTGATGAGCTAAGAAAGATCAGGCCCCCTGGCAGCCAGATGATTAACATTGTGTGAAATTTGATGAGGCACACAAAGAGGAGACATACAGTAGTCACCTAAGGGAACCTCCCTTTAATTAAGAAGATATTTAGGAGGAATTCTTGTCCAAGGTAGATCTTAAGGGCTTCTGAAATGTCAGATGGTGATCAGGCAGAAGAATGCTAGGATAGCCTAAGTTGTAACAGCCCACTAAATTCATAAATAAACTCAATAGCTCCCTAACAAACATGATCATATGTGGGCAGGTTGTTAAGAATTGCATAGAGTCTGGAGCATCTACAGAGGGCAAAGCTGATCAAGGTGGAAGGAAGATCTCCAGTTGGAAGTTGAGCCTCCATGTAGTGAGAAGTGTCCAAGTGTCTGTAAAACTGCCAAGTGAAGTCAATGAGTCTTATACTCTCCTCATTGCCACCTGCTGGTTTCACCCAGCTTTTCAATGAATGAGGCTTCTATCCCACCTTTACTCCAGGAGTTCAAGATAGCATTCATACCATTTCTTCCTCTGTTTAAGACTATCCCTGCATTTGGGTGCCCCTTTAATAGATATGTGAAAATTACTTTCACTTTGATTGGCTGATCCACTTTTCTGCAAGCAAAATGACATGGAGGCTGCTAATCAGCTCTGGTCTGCTGATTAGGAAGGGCCATTGCTTTGCTTCACTAAATCGCTTTGAAGGCGTGCTTTGCTCAGATCTCTGATGAACTGAAGAATCCCTTTGAAGAGCTGCATAACCCTAGTTCTTAAGCCTTCTTAGGTTACTCTCTTACAGAGTACCCATGAACTGTGGTAGAAGCCAAAATGCAGGAGAAACTCTTCTGGGTTCACACACTTTGAAAAGCAAAGAAGCTGTTAATCCAAATCTAGGGTGATAGTCCCATGAGCGTGACTTAAAATATCTGGTGCATTCTGAGGTCTTTCTCCATCCCTGCAGTCATGTTTATTAACATTAGATCAATTATCAGTAATAACCATTTTGATGAGATAATGACAGCTGAAAAATAAACTAAGTTGTTGTTCAGTCGTTAAGTTGTGTCTGACTCTTCGTGCCCCCATGAACCATATCGCGCCAGGCCTTCCTGTCCTTCACTGCCTCCCTG